GTGGTAAACGTCCCATGTATAAAGTAGAGTAAGATGGACGTGGATGTTAGCTCAGGGCCAGTCTTCCTCAGCAAAAAGAGGAGGATTGGCAGTAGTTAGCTCAGGGCTAATCTTCCTCAAAAAAAAAAGTGAAAAAAAAGGAGATAATATGATAAGAGATAAGAGATGTTAAGAGTCACGGTATACTCAATAAATGATTAATAAGAATTCTAGGAAGAGATGCAAGAGAAAGTGAAGGACAAGAAATTTTCAATGAAAAGCATAAAAAGAATTTCCCAGAGTTGAAGAGGGATATGAATTTTTCAATTCAAAAGACTTAGTGAATAATGACCAGGGTGAATAAACAAGAGACTCATACTTAGACAATTTATTTTAAAATTTCAGAATACTAACCATAGAGAGAATATCCCAAAAGCAACTCATAGGGTAGGAGTGGAGATTGGAGGAGAGAAGTACATTGATAAAGGAACAACAATCAGGCTGGCATCAACTTTTCATCAGCAATGCTGGACTCAGAGGAAAAGCAAAGAGTGAATACATTTTAGCCATTGAGCAGCAGCCCAGAACGGTGACAAAAGGAGCACTGACTCTGCAACCAGCTGCTACATTTAAAGTTGACTGCTATGAATAACTGTGTGGCCCTGGGCAAATGATTGACACTTTCTGTGCCTCAATTTTCTTTGCTGTAAAGGGGACATCACAATAGCCCCCTAGTTCAGTGTTGCTATTAGGGCTAAATGAATTAATCATAGCACACTGCTGTATTCTTTGGAAGTGAGTAAATACATGGGTATAATAGCATAATTGCGACCAATTGATCTTCAACATTCAGAGTCATCCTATAAACTGAACATGGGATTAATTTTGGTTATAAGACAGAATGTAAATGTTATCGACTTTGACAATGTAAAGTGCAGGATTTGGGTGAACGGGAGAAGACAGGTAAAGAAAGGTATGGAGATGTGAATACCTTTATTTTATAAACTAGAGAGTCAAGAGAAATTATCTGTAATTAATGGCCAAGAAATAGAGTTACAAAGGTAATCAACAGAGGAACTAAAGAGCAATGTATTTATTCAGAGGATGTGAGGGAAAGAGATGGGAATACGTGTGAGCTAAATCTTTAATCATGATGCAGGAAGTACACGGGAAAAGTCTAAACAGGATACTGAATCAAGAAAAAAGGGCATAACCATAAATTTAAAGACCTGGAGGTTATTGCTAAAAAACCAATACAGAAAGCTTCACGAGTGGCAGCTGCTAGGTAGGCACAGTGACCATGAAGTTTGACATCCCAATCAAGACACCTGGAGTGAAATGATAATAATACTTTTCTAGGGATAAGACATAAATCAGAACTGTCCAGAATGTGCAGCCACCCTACTTAAAGAGGAATATTTTCAAGAGCTCTTTATTCAGTAGAATCAACAGGACTGTCCTGGGAAAACCCATGGCAAGAGGGGCTTGGAATTTTCTTAGTATTTGATATTTTCAATGATATGTATGAAATATCTTGAAAAATACAAAAATTCCTTTAGAAAATAAAAGCAGATTTAGGCTAAGGTGTTAAGGGTTTACTATGGCATCTCCTTCAGAAAGTTAGCATCTTAACAGGTATTCAGCAAGACCTGGGATCTTAAACAGTAGCCGTGCTGTCTCCAGGTTAAGCTTTGGCCTGTCAGGAGCACACGGATTACAAAGTAAACATAACATAGATGTCGATCCATTAATTTCACTCAAAACTAACAGAAAAGAACATTGTTTTCATAATAAGGCAAATGTAGATATGTTAGGAGAAAATTCTTAACAATTTTTGAAATGAAACACTGGATTTTGGGAAAATTCTGACCTGAGGCAGCCATTGGGGGTCACCCATTCTCCTGTACTTTTAGATGTTCTCTCAGAAAGTTTGGGAAGCCCTGAGTGAACAGATTGGAAGCATCTGTGGCAAGATATTAGAGACAAGCTTCAAGATGGGAGAGGAGAACAGGTAAACATTCTACGCCCCTTACATCCCATCAGGAAGTTTCCTGCTCTGCCTGATCCTCAGTTCACAGGATGATACTTTCTGTCCTTGTGTGAACACAAATGGAGGAAACCCTTTCTGGAATGTTCCACTTGCTGGACTCTCTATGAATAAGATAACTCTATCAGGCCACAATGTTCAGTTACTAATGAAACAACGAGCTTTCTTTGCCCAGTACAATGGGGAACCTGAATCATAAAGAAAATCTTTATTTGTGAAAATGTTAAAATCAAAACCCAGGAATATGGTGTGAAAAGGACTCAGCAGCCTGGGGAGAAGACACCAGAGAACAGGTGTCAGGTCGAAAACTGGGCAGGGAATCCAGAAGAACCAGCAGCCACCAGAACACAGTGGCCACTTCTGCTGGGACCTTTCCTCTCCATCTGGGCGGTCACCCCTCCCAATGGAGTCAGTGTTCTCAGCTCCTTTCTCCTCTCCCTGTCTCTTCCTCTCTCATCCTCCATCCATCTCCAACCATCTCTTACCTCTGCTTCCCTATTTGTGCAGCTTACTGTGGACAGACTTCCTCCACGTGGTAGAGAATATGGTGGGAAACAAGCCTGGAATTATCATCTGTCAGTGTCTCAACCTTAGCCAAGAGTGCTATTTAAAAATTCTCGGTAAAAGATTGCTCAGCCTAGGCGACATACCCACTTCTTGGGCTGATCACCAAGGTCAGGAAGGTTAAATTACTATGATTGATGTCAACATTTAGGGGCTTGTTACCAGAAAAGCAGATAACACCGATTCTATCGTGAGCTGGCAGATCACTATTATGAGCATATGAGAAGGCTCTACTATGTTTGTATTTAGTTTCAAGTTTTGCATTTCATGATATCCACACTCCTATGGACTGGTTCAAACAGAAATCCCTTTAAGCTAGATTTAAAAAGGGAGAATCTATTACAGCAACACTCAGCCTATATGGTAATTGGAAGAAAGCACCCAAAGCAACCAAATTCATACATTTCAGAGAGATTAACTCACTCTCCATATGAATTCCGAATTCCTGGAGAAGATAGCCTCTCTCCGTCTAATCTTCTATGTGTAGGAGGTCAGGACGTGAGGAAGGCAGCAAGGAAGTGAAGCCAGAACAGCTAATGGTCATTCATCCTCTCTCAAGTATTTCCAGTGACTGACAGGAAGCTCACGATTTCATAAAGTAGTTCAGCCCATTATCTGGAATTCTCTTTTTAGAAATTTCTAGCTTAGGGGGCCAGCTCCATGGTCAAGTGGTTAAATTAGTGGGCTCTGCTTCGGCGGCCCGGGGTTTCACTGGTTGGATCCTGGGTGCGGATATGGCACCGCTCATCAGGCCACAACTAGAAGGACCCACAACTAAAATATACAACTATGTACTGGGAGGATTCAGGGAGAAAAAGCAGAAAAAAAAGGAAGATTGGCAACAGTTGTTAGCTCAGGTGCCAATCTTTAAAAACAAAAAAGAAATTTCTAGCTTAGTGGTCAGGAATGAGGGCTTTGGAGGTAAGTCTGAGCTCACGTTCTGAGCAATCTGAAGAGCTTAGATTGGGCCCTATTTCTCTTTCACATTGTATCTGATTCCAACACTACAGCCACCAGTGTGGGTCCTATGACCTTTGATAAGATCATTAATTTCTCTAAGACTCAGTTTCCTGACCTACAGATAGTGTTAATATAGTACCTGATTCACCACAGGGTTGTTGTGATGATCAGATGACTCGTATTAATTTAAGCACTCAAAGTTCAGTACTGAACACAAAGTGTTCAAGAAATAGCTATCATTAGGATTCTAATTAATAATTATAGTAGAGTAAGGTTAAAAATGCCTCCCTTGAACTTCTATCTACTGAGTCATGTTCTACTCTCTGTAGCAACGCAGACTAGGTCTGGTTCCTCTGCAAGGCAATTCTTCAAAGATGTGAACCCAGATTTCTTGTCTGTTTATAGTACCTGCCAGACATAAGGTAATATGGAAGTTGAGAGAGCAGCCTTGGTCTATGGTCTTAAGGTCTGATATTCAATAAGCCATTCACCAGTTATAGGCCCTCAGACAAATGTTTACTTTCTCTGAAATTCAGATTCTCATCTGGGTACCAGAAGTAATTATACACACCTCGTGAGTTTATGGTAATAGTAGAATGAGATGACACCAGCAGTGTTCCAGTATTGGAGAAGGCCCTTAATAAATAGTAAATATTTTTCTATTTTTGCCAGGCAAAAAGAGCCATGACTCAGTGTTTGATGTGGTGGACAGTGATCACTGGATGCATTATGAATCTGACGAAGACAGGAGCAAGGAGTGTTAGAATTCTCTTATCATCTGCAAAATTTACCCATCCTTTGTCCATTCCTTCAGGGTCCTGCTGTCTGCTAAAAACATTCTTATGATGACTGATTACGTTGATATGTTATCACTCCAATTATCATTATTGCATTTTAACCAGGACAGATAATGTTAGCTACTGCCAGCACCGGAGCAGGATGTTAGTGGTGATAGGGGAGGAGAAGACTTGGGCATAAGGAACCAAATTCTTCCTGCATAAATCTGTGGTTGGCAAACTTTATTGTGCATCCAAATCACCCGACTCAGTAGGGATGGCTGGGATCTTCCCCAGTGATTATGATGGAAACCAACATTGATTTGAAAATCAGCGTTGTAGGTCAGCGGTTCTCAAATTTAGTTGTCCATCGGAGTCGTCTGTGAAGTGCTCAAATACGAAGCCCAGGCCACACTTGCAGAGATAGTTCCAGTTGGTGAGTGAGACCTGAGCATAGATATTTTTTAAAATTCCCCCAGGAGATTCTAATGTTCAGCCAAAGTTGAAAATCACTGATGGGTGTTTCTATGCACCCAGCTAGGCCAGGATGAATTACAGGTGGGGACAAAGAAATACAATCCTCCTGAATAGCTAACCCCCCTGTCAAAGGCAAACTCCTTTTTGAAAGAATGTTCCACCTCCCTGTCCTAACTGGCGTACAGCCATTTCCCGGACTCAGTGCCAGGCCCGAGACGTTGCTAAGTGCTATGGAATAGCTGTTATGCTGCTCTCCAGGTGGGTAAAATGATTCTGAAATATAATTTTCAGAGTACAATAAGGCAGAATGCATTATATGTATATAAATTAGTAGTAGTCATAATAATAATGAGGCTTCAGAAAGCACTCACTAAAATGGTTTGACTTTCAAAGAGGCCAAAATAGTTTAATTTAAGGGTATATTACCACTCTCATGTCGAGATCTGCTCATGTAGCTTCTATTGATGATAATGTTAGCTGTGAGCTCTTATTCAATAGATGTGGTAATCAAATACTACATTTAAAGGGTGACTTAAATAGTGGCCCACATATCAGTTGGGCAACATTCTGTTTCCAAGGGTTACTCACCTGTATTTAAATGCTAAAGAACTAAAATCAAGTCGTTTCTGATTTTCCTAAATCCTAGTCAAGGATGTTTCCTTTCGTTCTTCTTTCCACTTCTGAAATTTCCAAGAAAGTGAGGCAGAAGAATGATGGTCTATCTTTTTTTTAAACTTGAATGTACTGTGTTACCCGAGCTCATTAGGATGCAGGCCACAAACGTTCACTAAAGGTGTCTTAAGTGCTGTGGGGGAGGTGGGAACAGAAGCTCAGGGATTTTCATGATATGAGGGCAAGAATCTCAGTTGGGTAGCCAGGTCTCAAAAGAACCCCACAGAAAGCTGAACAAGCAGGTTACCAGAAGACAAAGCATAATGGAGCAGGCTTTGCTGAGCCAGGCATGTTTGGGGACTGGGCAGTTACTCAGGATCCAGTGCCACTATGCAAATCAGGTCATCTCTTTGGGGCTCATTCTGGCTGCAGCCACATGCTTGGAAACCTCCTTGGGCAAGAAGAACAGGCTCCCTCCTAGCACCATCAACAAAGGGGCACGGAGGGGACTGTCCATCCTAGAGATCTATATGGACCAGGATGGAAAAGCTATGCCATACGGAGGCTGCTCAGGAATCAGCTCCACTCATTCTCTCTCTCTTTCTCATGAATCTCTGCATTTTCTTCATGTCTTTCTAGTCTCCTCTCATTACTGACTTGCCAACCCAACCCAAAATAAACTGTTCTGATTGGTTTGGCTAATATTACTATTGATTATTGGGCAGAGACCTTCAAACTGGTGATTTCATGAATTACCGGCTAGCCTGCAGATGGGCTCCCTGGCCAATTTTGTGGCTCTCTCTGAACAAAGAATAGACTAGCCCCGCTTCCTGAAGCAGGGAGCCATGGATGAGGTAGAGTCATCTAGAAGGGGAAGTTGGGTGTAGTAGGCACCATGTTTGACATACACTTAAAACCATTAACATTCTTTTACGAACCCTACTACTATTAATCAAAGAGCACTATATTCTATGCGTGCTTTCAGTTTCTTATTACACATGGCTACACCATTTTTTGTAAGTTTTTCATATTTTTTCCCTGTCTGTCAACTAACTTTTTCTATATTTACAGCTCAAACTCTTGATAAAGAGGATCTGGTTGGTCCAGTTTGTAATTATTGGCCCTATTTGGCAAATGTGTCTTTTGAGGCCAGCCCTTAGGCTACTAGTCAACCAATCAATTTGCCCTTTGGGTCAGGTGCCCTCCCCAGATCTAATCAATTATGTCCATGGTGGGGTGGGCTGTCACATTGACACTTGGGTGTACCTTAAGATTTCTTAGCCGGAACCGTATAGAAGGAACAGTCATCAGGGAAATAAAATAATCAGTGTTCCTATTTGTGGACAAAAAGATCTACCTAATTTAAGGTAAAAAAAAAAGAAATGTTTTATTAAAAGAAATTAGGTAGCATACAAAAGCTCAAGCAGAACCAGAAAACCGGGCTTGGATGGTTTACCATCAGGAACTGAGCAGCTTAGAAAACATTCAATTGCTGAGGACTGTTCTAGAGAGACACCACTGCTGCCAAACCAGTTGATTGGCACCTAGACCACTTGGTACTAACTAGAAATCCTACCCCAGCATTTCTAAAGGAGCAGATGCCTCTGTCGTTGGGCTTACCTGGTGATCAGGTCTCACCTCTGGAGCCTGCTGCCTCATGGAGCTTATCTCCACTTCCAAGCCTCACAAGAGGGTATCTATTCAGCAGTAGTTACATCACCTATAAAACCTGAGCTACAAAGGATGTGGGGAATGGAAAGTTTTAGCTTTCCAAGCCTCTGTGATTTAAGAATCAAGTGAGGCAACTGTTCAGAATGAGTGCTGAAAGAGCCAAAATACAGAGTCCACCACAAGGGAATTCTGCGATTTCCGCATTCCAGTGTCTTTCATTCAGTTTTTAGAGAGCACTGTACAAATGCCTTATTGGGTAATCATCACCCTTATTTAGGTAACATTGAGGGACGTACTCTTTTGCTGGGCTCCTTCTAACAAACACGGTCTCTCTCCACTAGCCAAGTCAAACTTCTGGTTCACTCATTCCTCTCTTCATGCCTTTACTGAAATCTTTCTTGCATTCTTGGGAAACTCTCCTATTCTACACTACAAATATGTGTGCAACCCCAGATTTCAAGAGCCAGGGTATACCTGACTTCCATAAGTAATACTAGCATATTGTGATCACTCCTCCATCTTCCCTCTTGGTGAGAGATATTGGATTTACAAGAATTTACTCTTTCTTTCATAGACGTGTTGCATTGTTCTTGCAACCTCACTTTCCCAAAGGGGTGACAAATAGTACTCATACAATAGATATTTATCAAATAAATACTGATAATTTCAAATACAAGTAAGCAAGAGGAAGGAAAAATTTCCTTTTAGAACTAACAGGAAATTAGAACATTTCATTGGCCTGAAATCAAATTTATTCAGTCAAAATTGCAATCTTTGCTATGTCTTAGAAACTTGGAGTAACAAGTTAGCCTTTTAAAAATTTGAAATAATTCACCAATACGCAGTAACTGATCTGCCTTTTCAGAAGTTTCCTGACAACATTTAGGAATTTGTCTGTGAAAAGGAAGGGGCCTGTATGGGGATGAGAGTGGAATGTGGGGAAGGCAGCAGGACAGGAATGTTTACAATTCTGGTAGATTTGGAAAATGATTTCATTCATGACAATACAAAAGAATCATTGAACAAGACAATATGACTGAGGAATATCAGTATGTTCAATCCTTTTGCCAAACTTTCCAGGACTCTCTTATTGCAGAAGAAAACACATACCTATGAAGAAACAAAGTGGGAAAATTCAACTAAAGTAAGGACAATGAGGACAGGGACACTACCATCTATTAACATATTCTGTCCACAGCACCTAGCCTAGAGACATGACCAGGTGATCAGTGCATATTGATTAGCTCATGAACATAAAATTTGTTATTTCCATTCAGAAACTGGAAAACGTTCTCCATAAACTAGGCTGAGCTGTAGAAAGTCATCCAATATGATCCCATTCGTGCATCCCTCATGCATATGCATCCTCACTAAACTCTTCCTGCTGTCACTGCTAAACCGGGCGCTTCACTCCCACTCCACCTTCTCCAAGCCAGGCGCACCTGCTACCCCAGGCGCTCATGCTGCTGCCATGTCTTGCTGCGTAATGCCATTGTCAACCTCTCTGCCTGGCGTGTGTGCCATTCTCCTTCACTGGAGGAAGAAATGTTTAATTATTTTTAATCAGTGGACATGGCATCTTGCTAGACAGCAACACTTGGGGGATCCAACACCATCTGCCTTCCACCAGGCGCCAGCTGCTCTGGTGGATGTCGGCAGAACACCTTAGGACATGGCCTTCCGCTGCCAGGCGCCTGCAAGCGGCTGCCACTCGGCACAGTCTCCAATGTGACACTGCCACTTGGGCTCTTTCCCTCTCGTAGTTCACCTCTCACTCCTGTCACCCTCCCAGGGAGGTACTCCATAGCCCCAGCTCCCAGAACATTTCCCAAGCAACCCAGGGGCCTGCCAGTAATAATAGGGTGTCCAAATATAAATGTCACCCTAACCCAATGGCCACAGATCCTTCCATCACCATTAGTCAACCTAATGGATCTGCTGACTTCAGTCCCACAGAGAACAGCTACTGACTTCGCAGCGGGCCAACCCGGGGAGAGCAAGGGTCAGCCAGCTCCGGAGTGTATAAAACAGCGGGAAGGAAGAAGAGCGAGAAACGCCTCTCCGATAAATCACCGAGCTGTCCAGGGTGAGCAGTGCCCTTGTAAGTGAGCTCCTGATCGTCCGTGCTCTGCAAGCTTCTGTCACAGACCTGTCCCTTCCACCTCCTACCCTTAAGGCAGTTCCTGCAGTTCTCACAGCTGTGCCAACACTTTCACTCCTGCAAAGCACGTTTCATTTGCTGCAGTGGCTTGGGCGGCACAGCGGCCCCTGTTGAGAGTACTTGCCGTCTCCTTCCCAGGGAGCCACTTGACTCCCAGCCTAATTCCTACACTGTGAACCAAGCCCCCACGGCTCTTTGCACCACCACCCCTGCCCCCAACTTCGTGAAGAGCCAAAGCCCCGGCTCCAACCTCAACCTTATTTTCATGCAAAGTGAAAGAGCTCAGCCGTAGTGCCGGCTGAGGGGGAGATAAAAGCCCCAGCTGTGCTTTCTCGGGGAGGCAGTTTCACCTCCAGCAGGAAAGCAAACCGCTCTTGCGCCTGAGGGAAATTACGGAGCCTCACACTTTCATCCAGAGAGGGACAAAGGGGAGGTCAGGTGCTGCATCTGCCAGGAATGGGGACGTGTGAAATGTGATTAACCCAGGAAGGAGCCAGACAGAGCCCGGCTGGGGCCTCTCCTGTCGCCGCGTGTTTCCCCGGGTCAGGAGCAGAAGGAAGAGTAAACAAAAGCATTCAATATTTTTCCGTTTAACCCATGTGTTAATACAGATTTCCACAACCTCGACAGCACCGACGGAATCGATAGCTCAGCGTTAGCCTACATAATGAAGGAAGTAGTGTACATCTGTTGAATTCTCCGCATTTGTGACAAGAAGTGGGGGGTGGGGAGGGTTGAGAAGGGGAAGAGTTTCCAGAATGAGCATGTGGTCACATTGCACCCCGGTCCACCCGAAGCGCGGCTGAACCTTTGGGTCCCATCAGATAAGCTCGCTTAATGTTATTTCTCAGGCTAAATACAAACCGCTGGTGCCTGTAGAATTAAAGCCATCAATAGCTGAGCTCTCCTGCATTTACAGGAAGACACAAATAAAATCCCCACTGATGTGCCCATCAGAGTAGGAAGTTCTCTGTCCCTCTGCAGACAGACTCTCTGTAAGAGCTCTGTGTGGTAAATGAAGCCACAAGTACATTTGTCTCTCTGTCTAAATAAGTAATGCCAATTTCATTTTCAAACAGTATGCTTGGGCTGCATTCATTATTGTGTTAGGGTTTTGTTTCCGCCAAAACAGCCCTCCCCAGCCCTCCTGCTTGGACAACTTGTCTCTGGTTAGAGATGTGTGCTGAAAACAGATACTGTTTGAAATTGACTGGAGATGTATTAAATAATCACCAGAGAAATTCCAGTAAAAATAGAGTCAATTATCAAAAGATTAACACTTTTCTTTGTTCTTTTAAAAAAAAAAAAAAAAGCAAGGAGGGGAAGCAATTTTCAAGACAGGCACTGATGCTTTAAAAGGATTCTTCATAGGTGAATTATTTAATCCTTTGTGACTAAGGGAATCTTTGTGTGCATTGCGGGAGGGGGGAGCAAAAAGGAAAAATGTACAATATTGAAAAGTAGAAATACAATATGTGGCACACTGAGAACATATAAGTTAGAAGGCCTGTCGGGTGGTTGATACCTGAATCAAATCTTGATTACTCCTCTATAGGAAGAATCTGCAGATAGTTTCTTGAATATCCCTAAAGGATTAACATAATCAGCTATGGAGTGCCACTGTAGCTACTTCACAAAAATGTCCTTAAGGAGGCACTTATCTGGCAGTGGGAAGCTCAGCTCTGAAAGAAGCCACTTCATATATGAAGGCTTTAAATAGTTTTTTTAGGGCCCTCTTCACCAAGCAAGAGCTGCTCCTGAGGTTGGCAGGGGTCTGGTACCCACCAGCGTTACTCAGCCGGGCAGAGGCAGCGGCGTGGGTGGCAGCCAGGCTGGGTGGGTCTCCATGTGTCTAAATAGGATTTGCAGTTAGGGCAGAGGAGCAGTTCGTCTCCAAATACGTTCCCACCTGATTTCCTGGAGGAACGGGGGGCGCTTTGAAATGCCCAGAACCAGGCTTCCAGAAAAGCCAGCTCAAATGGGGTTACCTTAATTAGAGGTGTGGGGACCTGGAATTGGCCACCCCAGGATATGTCTCTTTGGATGAGGATTATTTGAGGCTGATTGCTTTTGATAAACTGGGACAGGGAAGGAGGCTCTGAGGAATGGAACTCTCCCTTTGTTAGGACACGTTTACATTTGTAAGGTAAATCTCTATCTGTAAAAGGTGCCTCCCTCTCTGTACCAGGAAGAAGAAAGGAGATGACCTCTCTAGAAACTCTTCATCAATACCAAAGGCAAGGACTTAAATCTGCATTTTATTGTGCTACTCTGGTAACCTCCTGTAACTGACTTCCCTCCCCCTCCCAACGTTGGCATTTCTTAAGGATTAAACACCTTTCCTTAGGCTAGGAACTGATTGCTGCGCTCACCTGTGACCGCTCAGCTCCAGACAATAGACTTGCCTCCTGCTACGCCCACCAAGATAGCAGACCCAGGACCTGCTGTGTCCATCAAGCGCTGTGCCGACAGGGTGATCTTGTGACTATTGCGGGAGGGACATTTCAATCACATGTGAAACACCCTGTTTGGGGGTATATAACCACTATGTGCACCCCACTTCTTCGGTGCCCTTTCTTCCTTCGGGAAGAAAGGCCCTGGGCCATGGTTCCTCATAAAGCTTTGTTAAATTTTCTCTTGCTATTCTGTCTCATGTGAATTTAATTCGTTCTCCAGCCAGACGAACCCCCATTTGAGGAGAGGAAATGTCTTCCTCCCCTACAGAGGACAGCTAAGAGAGTCGCTAATATTGACCTTCAAAATCAAGAGGTGCCTGTGTCCCTGGGGAAACCTCCAGAGGAGCTAAGCCAGCTTGCTCCTGATCAATACCCTCCGTTTCCGTTTCTATATGACTCAACTCCAGCCACAGAGACTCCAAGAGGCCTTTGCATTAGGCAGAGCTCTCTCCAGCAGGCAGATCAATTGACTTGCTTTAGTAGCACAGACTTGGCCCCTGCAAGAAGAGTCTTTCTGATGGGCTGATGTCCCCAGATGGGGCAGAAAGAGGACAGTCAGGGGATCTTAGTGAGCTGGGTCAGTTTGGAGTGGAGAGTGCCCTAAGGAGCAGAGATTTGTACTTGAACCAGCTTTAAAAGTTTCGCTACTCTCACTTGTTCCTTTCCTTCTACTCATTTTATGAGCAATATATATTCTGAGTGATCTTCATACATATTCTATAATTTTTCACTTAGAAAAATAGCTTTTGCATTTCATACAGCTTCTAATTCCAAAATTAGTTCAACATCTAGCAGTGAATGTAGAAATATATACCCCTTTCGGAGACATACTTAGGGCTGGTATTGATTTATGCTATCTCATGATTTTAGTCTTATGGGATAATCACCTTGTCAAGGCTATATTTATTGTTGTGGCTATTAAATCACATTAATTCCTCAGCGATTACACAGAGGTAGAGCATTCACAAACTGCAGCAGTGACAGAATTCCATTTTCCTCCCTAAATAAACTCAATTCAAAGATAGCCATGTCCTAGTTTTTCAATGGCATTCCAACTTTTTTTTTCTTTTTGCATATCTTACAGGAGCATTAAATTTAGAGTTGCAGGCAGTGCCTTGCCATAGATTTGAACTCTGGTGGAAAAGCCCCTTGAGGGAGAAGAAGCAAGTTGGAGACAAGTGCTAATGGCGGCACAGCACAGAAGCAAATTGCCCATCAAATGGGACGACTTAGTGTTGCAGGAGCATTTGCAGGAAAAAAAAAAAAAGGAGAAAGCAGAAATCATCCAATACTGGCTGCCCTTGATTTAGGTTGCTTTCAGCAGATTCACGTGGGAATGCGGATTCTCTCTGGTGCTCAGGGAGTTTGTAATAACACTGTCCAGACTCAACTTGCCTTAACACTCCCACAGTGTCTTAGCAATATGAAAGCGAGAAAAGGAGGGCTGTGCAGTGAAGGGGTTTCTGACGTTGGGATAAGAGTTGATAGGATCCTTTTGAATATACGCACAAAGCCCGCACCGATTCACAATGATGCAAAAGTTGATCTCATTGCTTGGGGGACCCAGCGCTAGCAGGTTGCCCTGCACACCCTGCACGTGATTGGTTCCTGGAGAAGGTCAGCTCCGAGGAGCAAGTGATTGGCTGCTTCCACTGAAGGCCCAGCTCTATCATATTTACAAAGACAGCATTACCCAGAACCTAAGGATTCTGGCCTCCAACAAGAAATATCTGGGCTGAAGGTTACTGACTCACTTGGATCATTTGAAAAGATTCTGCTTGCTTTGTATTTTTAATAAAGGGTCAGATAAGATTGGCTCACCCTCCTTTCTGCCTTGCATATTGATTTGAGTCATTAATTTTGGGCCAGCTTTTAGCTTGATTGAAGCCCACATCCATGACCAAAAGACTTGTTCTTCGCTTTTACGAATGCCAAATACCTTTCATCTACAACCCATTCCCTAGCTGAAGTCCCCAAGCCATTGAGGAAAGAGAAAAATGAAGAACAGCAACGATGCACAAGGGTTGCTCCAGGCTCTGATTGTTATTGGTTCATTTGGGGTCAGTGAACTGGATCATGCTTAATGATGCACTAAGTTTTGATTCCAGGAGAAATGATAATCAGCGAGTTTTAAGATGCAGATGCCCCCAACTGTAACAACATATTAAAACAGTCCCAGAAATGGAAAAAAAAACAAAAAAACTCTCATTGGACCATCATGGTTTTGTAAAAGAGAAAACAAATAACTGGTAACTCATGCAGCCAGCTCCTAATTCCTGTTGAGTATTATTTTTTCCTTTCTTTCTTTTAAAAAGAAGTGTGGCATCCCTGAATGATGGGATACACGCTTTTGTTCTGCCTTCTATATCACTGAGGGAGGTAGCAGAACTATTTGTACCTGAAAGAGTTTGCATTTCCCTAAGTGCACCTATCTGGGTAGAAAACTGCATTTCCTCCTGCAAACCCCACCGTCCCGAAAATCTGCTTTGCCCTGTCATTTCCTCAAGGTCACCTTGCTGTTTCCACTTCTCCCTTCTTCAGCCTTTGATACACATCTTTACAGGGTGCCCTCACTAAAAGGGCTTCTCCCCTCTTCAGTTTTGTCATAGATGTATTACTGAGCTGTTGAATTAAAAAGCCCTAAAACAGACCACCCCCCCCCCCACCACCAATATGCCCCATAGAGTCGATGTAGCTTTTACATTTACTATTCTCACCTACAGAATCGTATTTGGAAACAGCTTAGAATCAATTTCCCCACATGTTGTACTTCCATTTCATTTGCCCCAAAACCTTTTTTAAATTGCTGACTTCAGAGATGGGGGAGGATGTTTGTCAACTGCCCTTCCTTCCCTGCCTCCCAATCCCCGCCCCCTCCCGCATCTCTGAAATCTGACCCTCTCTTTTTTCCCTACCCTCCCTTTCTCCCGGTCTCTTGGGGGTGATACAGTCTTTCCTCTACTTATTCATTTTTTCCCCACTGTGGCCAAAAGCAGAATGTAATGCACTGCTCTGGCACGCTGTCTCTCTTACTCTTTCTCTCACCTAGTTTTACATTTTCCCCACCTGTTTTTCTTGGTACTCAAGTTTTCCAGGAATTCCAGGAAACTTTCACTCAAGCTGTTGAGTGTGTATTCCTCCAGGCTGCCAAGAGGCCCGCTCTAGGTGGGTTCTCCCCAGGTCCCCAAGTACTTTGACTAACGAAACTGCTGACCGGGAGCTAATTTATCACTCTGTTATCACTATGTTAGGGCATGAGAGAACCGGACCTCGAGTGAGTTAGGGACCCTTCCAGGGCCCCGTGCATCCTCCATGTGAAGGTAAGCAAGGCTGCCTTGTGTTAACTGTCAGCCTCAGAAAGAGCTGACGTTTATTATTTTAATTAATAGTTTACTTTGCTAAAATAAGCTTCTGTGAGAAGCTATGACTTTTCATTAAATCTTCACCGCAGCATTGTTTTCCCCAGATTGCGAGACAAAAGGTAATTTTCAAAACTGCTTTCTCCTGCAAGGTCACAGTCAACAGCTTGTGTGCACATGTCAGGAAAACATCTGCCTCTGTGCCACAGATATAGGTAAAATTTGCTTTATTTTGAAATTTAAATTTACTTTTACTTGGAGAAAAATGATGAGTCAGTCATTAAAGAGCTATTAAGTGATGTTGATTAGGAAAGACTTTTTAACCAGTCATTTTTGTCTCAGGACTGAGGCTGAAATTTCTCCAACCTCAGCATTCTGCTTCGACGTCGCAGGGAGTTGTGGTCACTGGCACATCTGGGTCTGGACCAACTTGTCTTTTCATTAATGCAAATCATGGCTATGTAATTACTCAGCCTGCGAGGTAGAGATCATTGATTTCTTTTGCCCGGCAGCAGCATTTTTAAGTCACTGATGACAAAGAGAACTTACAGGACAGTCCAAACTATTCCAATTAGCTCCAGTTCAAGCAAGGCAAACTGACTTTAAAAGGCTCCAATCCAAAATTTAGTTCTGAGATTTTTTCTTTGCTTGGAATAAATTGACCAAGGGAGGTTGGTTCCTTCATGTTGTTTAACTCCTTTTGGTAACGCATTTCACTCTTCACATTTCCAAAACCATCACACTTTGATGCTCTGTCCCCAAATGGCCTTGTGTTCGGCCCCTACATTTGTTCCCGGATCATGTCCCAACTCTCAGGGGACTCAGACACTTTTCTGAGAAAACACTTTTCCAGAAAACCTAATATGAGCTGACTCATATTCTTTTGATATTTCTGGGTCTTGTTTCTTTGAGGCCAGAGATGTCTTCATACACTGACTTGGAAAAGCAGATTATTGGGCCAGCCCCATTGCCTAGTGGTTAAGTTCGCACCCTCCACTTTGGCGGCCAGGGGGTTTTGCTGGTTCAGATCCTGGGTGAGGATATGGTACCACTCAGCAGGCCATGCAGAGGCGGCATCCCACATTGCACAACTAGAAGGACCTGCAGCTAGACTATACAACTGTGTACTGGGAGGCTTTGGGGAGAAGAAGAAGGAAAAAAAAAAAGATTGGCAACAGATGTTAGCTCAGGTGCCAATATTTAAATAAAAAGAAAAGAAAAGCAGATTATTGTCTCTGGATTATGAGATCCCCATCTCTTCAAGCCCCAGAGGCTATTAGTTTCTTATATTTTGTGGTAGATTGAATGATTGGCCCAGTTCTTTACCCCTTCCTGAGTCTACCTCGGCCTCATTGGGGGAAAAGTGTTTCCCCACCTCTGACTTTGGGTCCAGTCATAGGATTTATATTGACAAATGACATGTTGGTGGAAGTGACAATGAGCTATAACAAATGATTGTTGTTTAAGCCACTGAGTTTTGGGATGGTTTCTTAGGCAGCAATAGCTGACTATTACATATATTATCCTTTTTTAAAAAAAGTTTTATTGAGGGACAATGAACTGCACATATTTAAAGTATACAACTGTTAAGTTTTGACATATGAATACACTCATGAAATCATCACCACATCAAGATAAGGGACATATCTGTCAACTGCTAAACATTTCTTCCTAACCTTTTGTAGTCCCTCCCTCCTGCTCTTCTTCCCTTTATTGACCCTACCCCATGCCCAGAAAATGTGTTCTTTAGAACGTTTTTGTATTTGTTTGCAGCCTACATCTAGCAGTTTTCGTATGGACTATTCTTTACCATCCTTAGTTCATGTGTAAGTATGGTGTTCAGATTTAGTAGTTATTACCTTGAGAATCCATGGGGCCCACTGCCCAGGAAATCCTTGGTAGGAAGAAAAAGAATTGACACAAGAACACGGACTTTGGAATTACACAGGCTATTTTGAATTCTAGATCTGATATTTAATTTCTCTGTGACTTTGAGCAAGTAGACTAAACTCTCTGAGACTCAGTTTACTCAAATTTAAAAGGGTGGGAAATATACCTATCCTCATGAATTATTCTGAGGATTAAATGAGATAATCTATGAAAAGCACTTAGCATTGTAACTGGCACATAGCATATTCTCAATAAATGGTAGCTGCTATTGTTGGCTTTATATCAGCAGAATAGCTGCCTGGTATGCACACAGTAGAGAAGAGAGAAGCAACCTACCCTGTACCTGGCAAGTAGTAGTCACTCTGTAAACGCTGGTTGACTAAATGAAGGAAAACATTCATTTCAGTGTTTATTTCCTTGCCTGCAACAGGGGTGTTCATTTTATAGAATGAAAGATTCATCCTGTTGAGCAAAGTCAGTACTTCTCTCTCTTTTTCTTTTTTCTTTTTCTTTTTTTCTTTTTTTAAATAAACTGACTCTAAAGTTATATGCCTAATATGCCCGAAAACCCTTGGGTCATCTGTGAGTACCGCAGGCTGAAGCAGTAGCAATTAGCTCGGGAAAAGGGCTCCTGTGACCCAGGCTGTTTATTTTCTGTGGGATTCTAGGGTCTAGGGTCCCTCAGAGCCTTTTCAGATTCTAGCACTTACCTCAGGTTTTCTGTATTCTTTTCCTAGTTTGACTTTCTTCACCAAAAAATGGAAAGAGAGAGAGAAAGAACAAAAGAACGAATGAAAGGAGGAAAGAAAGAAAAAGAGAAAGAGGAGGAAACTGAAGGAGTTTCCTTCAGGAAACAGGAAAGAAGTAGGACCAGATCAAATTTTGGTCCACCTCCCTCCCTTATTCTGTCTCCTCCCACCATATTTAACCCCAAAGAGCCTGCCAGTCCTCCTCCAGGCGGCCTCTTCCTCACTCCCACGGAAGTCGTCTCTGAAGTCCTGACATCCACATCCATGCTGGCCCCTTTAGGAGACTGCTCAGTCCTCTCTGCTGACATGCTGCCGGGCTGCTGTGCCAGGCTCAGAGGCTGATGCCGTGCCTTGATGGCCCGTTTTCCGACTATGATCCTCGGAACTCTTCCTCGGCCGTCACCGTCTAGCTCCGTGAAGAGCCACAGTCAGGGGACAGATGCTCCCAATTCCGCCCTTGCTTATCAGAGCCAGGACTCCAGTGCGGGAAGGGATGGGATAGAAACAGGTGGTTGTCCCCCCACAGCCATACATGTCACGTGATTCACCCGATACACAGACCTCACCTGGGGTCTGCAAGGCGACTTTGTCACCTCACCCTCCAAAGGCAGGTTTCCCCAAGGCTGCTCTTCTCATTGTCAGCCCCTTCCTTGGTCAGTTACTAAGCTCCAAATCCTATCTTTTTATAACTCTGCTTGTGTAAAACTGGAGCTGGGATCCAAAAATTACATTTCCCATTTGTCAGCTGGCACCATGCTAGGTTCCACCAATAAGAATGTCTAGAGGGAGATTTTTATGGACCGAATTGTGTCCCCAAAAGTTCATTAAGTTGAAGTCAACCCCAAATACCTCAGAATGTGATTGTATTTGGAAATAGGGCCTTTAAAGAGGCGATTAAGTTAAAATGAAGCCTTTAGTTAGCATGGGCCCTAATGCAATACAACTAGTGTCCTTACAAAATGAGGAAACTTGGGCACACAGAGAGACACCCCCATGCTCGGTGCTTGCACACGGAAGAAAGGCCCTCTGAGGGCACAGCAAGAAGGCGGCCACCTGGGGGCCAAGGAGAGAGGCCTCCGGAGAAGCCAAATCTGCCAACACGTTGATCTTGTCCTCCCAGCCTCCAGAACCGTGAGAAAATCAATGTCTGTTGTGTAAGTCACCCGGGCTGCGGTATTATTTTTCTGGCAGGCTGCGCAGACTAACAGAGACTGGCAGAGAGGAGGAGGAGCAGGGACTTCCCTTGTCCGGTGTGCTTGCTTTCCTGTCAGCCTCACCACCCAGAGGCAGTCATTCCCCCCAGCTCCAGCTCTGTCACTGGAACTCCCAGGACCAGCCTCACCATATCCGAGGGAGGAAGCAGCCCCTAAACGTCTTCTGAGGTTGTAGTTGCTGATAACTCCAACCTCTTCCCTGCGTTCTCCCAGCCCCAGGGGTGGTAGCTTTTCCCTGCGCTTATTACCTTTTATTCGCTTTTACTATCCTTCAAAAATTCCTAGCCCCTCCCTCCTGGCCTAGCCAGGCCTGCCAGCTCCCAACCCTTCGTCCCCAGCATTTACTTAATCAGCTCTGGTCTGACGGGACTGTCAAAAGGTAGAATTGCTAAAAGAACTGCCCTGAATGGAGAAGATACTTGCTCTGAGAAGATCTGCGTTAGTTTTCTATTGCTGCTGTAACAAATTTCCACGAATTTGGTGGCTCAGAACAATACAAATCAGTTCTCTTACAGCCCCGCAGGATAGAACTCTGCCCCAGGTCTCTGAGGGTAACATCCAGGTGTGAGCAGGCTCCTGGAGTCTCGAGGGGAGGGTTTATTTCCTACCTTTTCCCTCTTCTAGAGGCTGCTTCCTTCCTCCATCTTCGAAGCTACCAAAGTCTAATCTCTCTTTCATGCTATTTCTCTGGTTCTACGCAGCCCGCAAAGGTTCTCTGTCTGTAGGATTTCATGACTAGGTTGGGCCTGCCTGTATAATTCAGGATCATCTCAGCCCAAGGTCCTTAACCTAAATCACATGTGCAAATCTCTTTGCTAAGTAAAGTAACGTATTCACAGGTTCCTAGGATTACAATGTGCATGTCTTTGCGGGCCGTTATTCTGTCCACTAGGGTTTTTCTAGCTTCTGCCTAATCTTCCTTCTTTCTTGTTTGACATTATTCTCCAACTCTACCAGCAATTGAGAGTTTTCCTCAGACACTTGAAAGCCTCTTTATGTGCTTTGAAGGGGCAATGGGAAACACCGAGTTCCTATGTCTGCTTCCTGGCTGTGAAACTAACGGTGTGATGACTTTATGCCAGTCAATGTCCTTTCCTTGGGCCTCAA